GGTCCTAGGGTCCTTTGTTTCTGGATTGTAAAATGGAACTCAACTTTTTAATTATATTTGTTTTCATTCTCTGTCTGAGGATTTCAATGAAACCTGCCTACATTAGGAAGCTAACCTTATCTGTAGCTCTGCTACTCTTATGATTGAGTCCGGGGATTGTGTTGTAAGTTTTTCTGCTTTTAATATGGAGTCCTGGTATAGTACTGTAAGATAAGCACTGGACTGGTAACTTCAAGGTTGGCAATTCAAACCCACCAGTCACTCCTTGGAAACCCTATACAGGGTCGCTATGAGTTAGAATTGACTCAGTAACACTTAACAACAACAACTAAAGTATGCATCCTAGAAAGTATGCAGGTAGCTTTGAGTAGGAAACGACTTGAAGATGCTTAACAACAAGAGGAATTACTCTGGATTTCACAGTTAGCTGCTGATGGTTAATCATACATAGCCTTCTCCTTTCTGTCTCTAGTGTATCAATTTCCCCCAGTAGTAGGCATCCAAGTTGTGAGCCCTATTATTTCTCCTTCTCCCATAGTTTTCAACAGCTTGATGCATTGCACCAACTACTAGCACATTTTTCCCCCCTGGTTTGCCATTCCAATTCACCACCTATGAATATTATCGATGAATACTGGACTGCCAGAAGAACAATCAAATATGTGTTGGGAGAAGTGCACCCAGAATGCTCCTTAGAAGCCAAGATGGCTAGACTTCATCTCTCATACTTGGACATATTATCAGGAGGGACCAGTGCCTGGAAAAGGACGTCATACTTGGTAAAGTGGGGGGACAGCAAAAAAGAGGGAGACTCCCAATGAGCTGGATTGCCACCGTGGGAGCAAAATGGGTTGCTATGGGTTGGAACCAACTCAATGGCACCTAACAACAACAATAGCTTGTAGCAGAGCCTGCCTTGTACAATATCATCTGCTTTCTCAGTCCACTCCTGGTAACAACATTCACTAAGTAGACTAACTAGGACAAAAATTAGACAGAAATTCGCATTTAGAAAGTTTGCATGGGATAGAAATGATCATGCTTTCAGGATCAGCACTGTGTGGGGAAGGGAAAGGATAAATACTTAGAAGAGAAAATCGTTTCAGCTGCAGAGGAATCACAGCCAAGCCAACCACACGGGGGCTTGTAAAGCTAGATGATTACTGAGAGTTGACTCTGTGGGATAAGCATTGGGCTTCTAACTGCAAGACTGGTGGTTCAAATCCACCAGCAAAAAGACGAGACTGCTCCTATAACGATTTACAGTCACAGACCCTATATAAGGTCACAATGAGCCAATCAACTCCTACACAGCGGGTTTGCTTTGGCTTGGTTTTTAAACTGCAGAAAAGGACTACGACTTCACATCTCCAACTAAACTAGTCACGAGAGGCAAACTGTTCCAGGGAAAGGGACCTGATTTTAGGTGGGGAAGCTTTGTTCAGCTGAGGTTACTGTCAGAGAGGGTAACTAGCATTCACAAAGGCAACATTTTCAGTATGGCTTTCCTTGGGATGTTGTTACTGTAGTTAAGAGTTGGTTCCAACTGAGAGCCCCTCTGCACAATACAATGATACACTGCCTGGACTCGGGCCATGCTCACAATTGTCATGCTTGAGGTCTCACTGTTAAAGCCACTGTGTCAATCTATCTCCTTAAGGGTCGTCTTCTGCTTTGCTGACCACCCTCCACTTTACCATTCCTGATAACATGTCTAAAGTACAAGAAAGGAGCTCTGGTACCGTAGTGGTTACGTATCGGGCTGCTAATCTCACGGTCAACTGTTCGAAACTACCAGCTATTCTGTAAGAGAAAGATGAGGCTTTCTGCTCCTGTAAAAATTTACAGCCTCAGAAACCCTGTACAGGGTCGCTATGAGTCAGAATCGACTCCACGGCACATAACAACAACAACAATAACAAAGTACAAGAGGAAGTCTCACCATTCTCATTTCTAAGGAACATTCTGGTTGTACTTCTTCCTACACAGATTTGTGATTCAGACAGTCCAAAGTACTTTCAATATTCTTCTGCAATACCATAATTCGAATGCAGCGACTCTTCTCCAGTCTTGCTTATTCACTGTGCAGCTTTCACATGCGTATGAGGTGATTGACAACAGCATGGCTTGGGTCAGGCTATTTAATCCTCAAAATAACCTCTTTGCTCTTAACACTTTAAAGAGATTTTTTTGCAGTAGATTTGCCTAATGCAACCCATTATATGATTTCTTGACTACTGCTTCCATGAGTGTAGATTGTGGATACAAACAAAATGAAGTCTTTGACAACTTAATCTTTTCTCCTTTATGGTGATGTTAGTTTTTGGTCCAACTGTGAAGATTTTCATTTTCTTTACATTGAGATGCAATCCATACAGAAGGCTGTGATCTTTGATCTTCATCAGTAAGTATTTTAATTCTTCTTTGCTTCCAGCAAGTTAAGCTATATCATCTACATATCACAGGTTGCAAAGGAATCTTCCTTGTATAATCCATCTTCTCAGATTGTTTGCAGAACATACAGATTAAACAATTATGGTGAAAGATAAAAACTCTACCACACACCTTCCCTGATTTCAAACTATTCAGTATCTTCTTGCTTAGTTCAAACAGCTGTCTCTTGGTATATGTACAGATTCCTAATGAGCACAATTAAGTTATGGAATTCCTAATTTTGGGAATGATATTCAGTTTGTTATGCTCTACACCATTTAATGAAGTGGTTCATAGTGGTTACAAATTTGGCTGTTAACCTCAAGGTCAGCAGTTCAAAACTACCAGGGAGAAAGCGTAGGCTTTCTGCTTCCGTAAAGATTAGCAGCCTCGGAAACCCTGTGCAGGGTCACTGAGTCGGAACCGACTCCATGGTACTTAACAACAACAACAAACACCATTTAATGCTGTTGCATATTTAATAAACTACAAATAGACATCTTTCTGGTATTCTCTGCTTTCAGCCAAGATCCATTTGATGTCAGCAATGACATTCCTCATTCCATGTCCTCTTCTGAATCCATCTTGAATTTCTGACAGCTCCTGTCTAAGTTCTGCTGTAACCACTATTTGTCTTCAGAAAAATATTACTTGCATATTAATGAAATTTTGGGATAATTTCTGCATTCCATTGGGTCACCTTTCTTTGGAATTAGTTGGCCAGGTAGCTGTCTTTGAACTTCTTGACATAGATGAGGGATTGCCTCCAGTGCTGCATCAGTCTGTTGAAAAGATTTTCATCTGTATTCTGTGTATACCTTGAGTCTTGATTTTTGCCAATGCCTTCAGTGCAGCTTGGACTTCTTCCTTGCAATAACCTACCCATTCAAAGAGAGACTCCTAGTGGTAAAACAGTTAAACACTCGGCTACTAACTGGTGATCTACTTCTGTAACAATTACAGTCAAGACAATCCTATAGGGTAGTTCTACTCTGCCTGTCATATGAGGATGCTATAAGCTGACAATCAATTTGACAACAACTAACAACAACAAATGTACCCATTAGTTCCCTCTATTCTCTAAATGGCATTTACTGTATACTAGAGGTGGCACTGGTGTGATACTATAGGTTACGCACTAGACTGTTAACTGCAAGGTCAGCAGTTCAAACCTACCAGTTGCTCTTGAAAACACTATCTAGGGTTGCTATGAGTTGGAATTGACTCAAAGGCACTTAACAACAACAACAGAGGTGACAGAACAGTTAAATGCTGAGCTGCTAACTCTAAGGTTCAAATCCACCCATTAGTTTATAGGAGAATGACAAAGCAAGCTGATTTAGTAAAGATTCAACCAAGAAAACCGTACAGTACAATTCCTCTCTGTCACACAGGGTCACTATGAGTTGAAAATAACCTCCAGAGTACCTAACATCAACATAATTATTTTGTCTGTTTTCAAAAATTTTTTTTCCATTTGTTTAAATGTTAACTACCTTTTATTCACTGGAGCTTAAGTTCCTTGACCGCAGAGATTTTATCTATCTTTTTCACTGCTATATTCCCAAGGTCTAGAACAAATGGATGAATAACTAGTGAAAGAATGAATGAACCAATGAAGCAAATAAATAACAAAAGTCTTTGGTCCTTCGGAGCATTCTCATAAGTCTGAATATGAAGTTTGGAAGAGCATGAGGAGAGGTAAGTGTTCCCTGAAAATCAGAAGAAGCTCTCAAGGTCAATCTAAAAGGGAAAAAAACTTTTTTTTTAAGAGAGAAGACAAGGTTAAGTAGACGTGGGAAAGTAACCACAGTCGATGCATTTCTGGAGCCAACCCAATCCAGCCCTAATTTACATTCCAGGTTATTAATATCCACAAAATGTTTGTGGCTAACACATGGTCTATTCTGGAGAATGTTCATGCGCACTGGAAAAGAATGTGTTGGGTTGAATGCTCTGTACAAAACTATGAGGTCAAGTTGATTAATTGTGTTGTTTAGTTCCTCTGTGTCTTTGTTGAGTCTCTTTCTTGTTGTTTTGTCCCTTTTTAGAAAGTGGTGTATTAAAATCTCCCACTATTATTGGAGAGTTGACTATTTCTTTTTTCAGTTCTATTAGGATTTGATGTATATATTTTAAGGTTCTTAAATTGGGAGCATAGATATTTATTATGGTTATGTCCTCTTGTTCACTTTACCCTCAAATCCCAGTGTCCTTTTTTTGTCTCTTACACTGGTTTTTGCCTTAATGTTTATTTTGTCAGAGATTAATATTGCCACTCTTCATTCTCCACTTTGCCTCTACTTTTGAAAACAAGAACATTTGTATATATAAATACATTCACAGATAGGTCTGTAGAGTATAGAAAACTCGTTTCTATTCTGAAGGAAGGGGAAAAATGAGAAATGACACATGTGGCTTTTCATTACATACTGCATAAATTTCACATTCATGTTTCTCAAAGAGAATAAACATGATTATGATCTTTTATTAATAACTGATCATTTATCTTGAACTGCAAACTCAATTTCAGTCCCACCAAGAAAAAAAGACCTGGGAAACAATACCTTGGACAAATGTTTGATCTCGATACCTGCCACCAAATTAGTAGGTTCCGCCTCAAAATACTTGCTGTGAATTTTCTCATAAAGTTTTACTCTTTCTTTATTTTTCTCAGTTGCTTCCCCAAACCAGTAAGAGTGCTAAAAAGGAAATAGAAAATGTAATCACCATGATGGCATTGAAAAAGGAAACATTTGAAAATATTTTGGCCTGTTTTACATTACAGTAAATTGCAGGAAATTTATTGGGATTGTATTTTGGAGAGAATCAGCTATAATTTAAACACCCAGAGCATTGAAAATAGAGTCTCTTATTAAAATTATAACTCCAAAATGAGGTCACAATGAAAAATATTATATCACTTCTCTGAGCCATTACATGAAAGGAAAAGATTGAGAAGGAAAAGCAAAACACACCCCAGTTACTTATCTGGGGTTCTAACTATAAGCGATGTGGGTTAACTCAGGAAATGAAGTAGGTGGTGAGTGCCCAAATACAGGAGGTACCAAAAACTCTCATTAGCATTCCAACACCTGCAACATATTCATTTCTTTAGGTTCTGAGTTCAATCCATTATGAAAGATTTGGCTGGAAAAGGCACAATTTGCAAAGTTTGGGGTTATAGACCATGACTGGCAGATTATTTGTATCTGTTTATAAGGGATCTTCAAAATGAGATTAAAAGATGTTATGTTTCTATGCATTTTTTTGCATCCCCCTCATATGTGTGTGTGTGTGGGGTGTAGGTAAAGTGTGTGTACCCTCTGCCATCAAGGCGATTCTGGCTCAGTGACCCTATATAGGACAGATTAGAACTACTCCTTAGGGTTTCCATAAATGTAAATATTTTATTGTGAATTGAGTGATAGCTTACATGAGAGAACATCAGTTTTATACTCATCGTATAGTATTTTGTTTCATTGCAATGATTACAATCCCCTCCATGCAACATCATTCAATAGTATTTGCTTCTATTCCCTGTATTTTATTTTATTTTATTTTTTGGGGGATGAACACCAAAACACTCAGGAACAAACAATCATTCAACATCAAAGGGCATACTCTGCAAGCCTGCCCCCCAGCTGTCAGCACACAGCCCCTCTTCCTCCATGAGTCTAGAGTACCAGCCGCTCCATCTCTACATAATCATCTCTGCCTCCATCTCTGGCACTGCCACTTCTCTGAATAGGGTCCCACACTCTGCTCCCGCTCTTCTCCCTGGATGGTCCCAGGGTCCTCCACTCCTGGACTGCAAGATCAACCACTCCCTCCCCCCTTTTGCTACAAAACCTCTACCTTTACAGTTGAAACAATTGCAATCAGTCATGATAACAATTACTCACTATTGAACCATAAGAGTCTTATCCCCATCACCAGCCCCTTCTAGACAGGATGAAAACCACTCAGTGGAGATTCTACCTTCCCCTGCACCCTCTGAAACTAAACTCTCTCTTGAAAAACTTGTAAGCCAGTCACTTCATGCTTTTATACCCACTTCACCCCCCATTTTAGGTACCCAATCTCTTAAGTTGCACATCCCGATCAACCCTGTGTACAGAGGGGGTAGGAATGATCCTTGCTGTGAAGATTCCTTCCCTCTTGGCTGGTATTTTAAGCTACTACACTACTACATCCATAAGTGTAAGTCAAGTTCATTAAATTGTAGCGATTTACACTTTCCTTTATCAAAAAGATTTTTTGTTGTTGTTTGTAATCTTCCTCTAGATGAATTCTGCTCACCCAGTCATTGAAGCTAGGTCAAATGGGCACTATCTGCAATAGTGCATCTCCCCTCACTTCATATCAGCTGGACACTCACTCTCGGCTCTAGCTCTCTATGGCTATGTCCTTGTCCATGGGCTTAGGAATCTCCAAGTCTCACCATAATTCTGGCCAACCAGGTCTCACCATACTCCAGGTTGATGGGAGTCTACGTAACGAATGTGGTCAGACTCAGCCCACATCTTCACTGCTGCTTTTCCTCATTTCCAATTATCAGTAGAAGAATGTGGTCACCAGCAAGATTACATACTTGCTCATGTATTTCCTTTGAATATCAGTCTTGGAAGGGGGTTTGCCCTGAAGAGACTTGATTGCTTGCCTTGATGGCTCCCCGGCAGACATCTTGCTTTTTCTTGTGGTAGCCAATCAGGCTGCCATTTTTGTTTTTATTTTTCCTGCT